CTGCTGCTGCTACTGCTCTGCTACTGCTACTGCTACTACGACGACTGCTACGACGACTACGACTACGACGACGACGACGACGATGACGACGACGACGACGACGACGACGACTACTACTACTACTTTTACTCTACACTCCTACTGCTACCACTACTGCTACTGCTAGTGATAGTGCTAGGGCTACTGCTACTGCTAGTGCGACTGCTACTGCTACTGCTAGCCACTGCCACTGCCCTTTTACGGCGACGGCTACTACGGCTACTCAGGCTGCTGCTGCTACTGCCAACCGCCGCATCCGCGGCCTACTTCGACGACGAGGTGGACGACGATGACGACGACGACGACTACTACTACTACTGAGTTACTACTGCTGTTTCTGCTGCTGCTATTGCTACTACTCCTACATCCTATTACGACGACCACCACCACCACCACCATCACCACCACCACCACTACGACTGCTACTACCTCCACTGATGACACTCACTGTATGTGTCGCGCTGAATGTTCAAACCATGTGCTAGCGTTTCGATGTGGGAGCGGTTTCCTGCGGAAGTGACCGGGGCGGTGCCTCACTTGGATGTTGCGAACATCCAGCCTAAGCCAGCATACGGGGTACGGCTGCTACCAGGGCGGGTTCCTTTGCCATAAGGGTTCGGGTGCTATGTGACGACTCGAAGCTCGTGAGCCGGGTGCCTTTTAGAATCTCAAGTTTCCTTCAAGATCCGGGAAGGCCGACTCCCACTGCCTCCCGCGTAAGCCCAGAGAAGCTTCCGTGCCCATTTGAGCCGTGGCTCAATTGGTCTTCATGTGTGTGTGTGTGTGTCTTCCTAGAAAAAGGTCTTAGGTTTTGAGCTTTTTCACATTGTTGACAGGTGGCTTCGGCCAGGCTTTGTAGACGACTGTCCATCATTTCAAATCAAGCAGGCACCTGAGAGACTGATGCTCTTCACTGCTTCTTCCATCCTGGGGCTGTTTGGGAGTGGAGTGTCCCATTCCTGTAAATGGTCGCAAGTTCGCGTCGTTGCTTGAAGGGCCCAGGGATATCCTGTCGAGCTAAAGAGCGAGACTCGGCTGCGGAAGCTTCTCTAGAGCACTTATCTTGAGAGCCTGTGGCAACGCAGGCTGTTGACAGCATTCTGCCGCCAGCGCGGGGCGAGCAAAATGAGAGGGCACTGCGATCATGCATGTGCTGCGGATTGAGAATGTGATTGCTGGACTGAAATCCCGGAGACCTTCTTCCCCGCAGCCAACCACACTGAAGCATCTACTACGAGCCACATAGAGTGGTCGTGTGCACTAACTCTTTCGTTGTGTCCTCAGGGCGTGCGCCCTATGCAGGTTGACCGGCTTGTCTGCGCCAAGGGCGAGCGCGTTTTATGGGCACAGACCGATCAAACTGTCGACGAGGAAAGAGGACTACAACTCTGCAGGGGATGAGGCTCGTCAAGTGGTTCTTGCCGATATCACTCGTGACTGCCTTTCAACCCTTCTACCACCAGCGCCACTCCATGAATTTCGCGGCGGCACCGGGCTCGGTCGTGATTCTGTTGCAGAGGTCAACTCTGGAAATCTCCGGCCTCGGATCATGGCTGGGCGAGCCGAGAGGCTTGAATAAGTCCCAACTGCTAAAGAAGAGCTTTAGCTGCAGTGTGCGAGTATAGAACGGGCCCGATGGACTAGGACGTCGTTTCGTGGGTTGTTTTCCATCCCGATGGAGCCTCCTGTGAGTCTCGCTTCCGAGCAGTCGCGGTCAATGCAGAGGTGAAACTTCTTGAAACACAACGACACGAACATGCGAGCAATGCCTCAAAGCCAAGCAGCAGATGGACTGTCCTTTTTTCGGCCATTTTCGGCCCAAGCTGTTGCTTGCACGCCGTAGGCCTCTCAATTAAGAAGATAACGGGGCACGGAGAGTACTCAGTGTCTACCTTGCGCCCTGAAACCCCCAAACCAATGTCGCCCCCAGCCCAGCGTATTTTGGTCTGTTTGGAACTTGATATCTCCATGCGAACTGCTCGGCAGTTGCAACATTTGATCACTCCTACAAACCCCCAGCCTGAAACCTTGCATAAAGCAGAGTTTTTCTCACCATGTTGGGCGACTGGCCTCTCAGTGCGGCAGATGTCAGGACACAGCCGGCTTTACTCAGCTGTTTTGCATGACGCATTATGCTTTCCAAACCCTAGGCCCTAGGCCTCAGCGTTTCAGTCCGTTTGCTCATAGCCTGAGTCTCAAGCCTCTGTGACGGAAAGGCGACATGCTCGGCAGGTAAGGCTAAGAGACGCAGCCGTGCCTTTCCGCCTCAAAGTACGCACCATGCCCAAACTCGCAACCTAGAGTAGAGAGGCCCTCAAGCTCAAAATCCTCTTGGGCTCACATGTCCCGGCCAAGGTTTGAAGACCGGGTCGTCGATTGGAAGACCTGGTTGTTGACCGGTTGACGAGTTAATTTCCCCCAGATTCAGTAAGACTTGTCATGGTGAGAGGCATACCAGCACAGTCAAAGAGATACTGGTAATGGCACTAACCACTAATTGCCAGTTCGACAGAATGGGCAATAAGATGGTTAGGAGTGTTAGTTAGTAGCAACGGTATTGATACTCGTAGCTGTCATTGATGGCCACTGTCTAAGTAGGTATCAGAAAACGTGTGATCTATCGAATCTCAGATCCCACATCTCAACTCAATGATGAACTACACCCTCTCGTAGAATCCCACACGGAGGGGGCTCCTTGGAAAGAGCTGCTGGCTACGTGCCTATCGTACAGTAGCATACAAATGTGGGCTTCAGAAGAATCAAAGACCTCTAACTCTAACATAACCTCCCAACTGGGAGATCCTTTTTGCATCCTTCATAGTGCGAGCCCCCATATCCGAAACTGCATTGGAGGAGTCTCCGATTTGGCAAGCAGATCGGGGAAGGAGCCTATGGCAAGGCTGGCCCGGCCCAAGCTATTTTGTAGGGTCCGAGTCTGGCGCTGTCGTGCATGTGTGTGTGTGTGTATGTGNNGCGGGAGTGCGGGGGGGGGGGGAGTTTAAGTTTTGCAAATGCTCAGAAGCTGCTGACCGAATGGCCCCAAATCCTAACCTTTCAACCCTAAACTAAAGACTCATGGAAGCCGCCGGAGTTCTCGGCTCCCACCGAGAACGGGCTCGAAGCCAGCACAAGCGGTGGGTTCATGTCCTTCATGAAGTCGTGCTTCTTGAGCGGCAGGCTTGCATCAGATCCCATCTCCAGACCCTTCCGGCCCTGAAATCGTTCAACTAAACTCAACATAAAACTCACATTTTTCTTCTGTACCAATGCCATGGCGCCGATGGCCATTGTGAAGACGTGACGGTGTGGCACCCTGATCCAGGGTTTGTGCTTCAGTCAGGTGATCGCCACTGCTACTGTAGAGCAGCGCTCTCTTCGATCTCACACGTCGGCTGATGCGCATGATGCTGCATGCCTTGAGGTCGGGACAGCGCTTAAAGGCAAGCTTTCTTCTCGCGTTTAGATTTCGGACGTCCTGTGGTATTGCAGTTGCATGCAGCATTCCAGGAGTTGCAGGGCTTTTGAGCTAAACCTTCGAAAAGGGCCCGAGACCTTTTGGCCTGGTTCCCGCCAGCCTCCCGCACTCTCGTCGCCTCACTACCTCAACACGCTGGACTTTGTACCAACGCATACCAAAGCCGCAGCGTCTCCGTCAACCTTCCAATCCCGTGCCTAGGCCCACTTGCAGAAGCATGGAACGGCCCAGGCCGGTTGGGATAACCTCAAGTCTCTGTTCGAGGGCCCACTGCGCGAGAGCATCGATGCAAGAACGAAGCTCCTCCAACATCCACCAAGATCCCAACACTTTCGGTTCTGTTCAACACGACTGCAGCTCCGTTGGGTCGCAGTTCCTCTCAGGTATTCATTGCCGCTGAACCCTAGCCGCACCCTTAAACCCTGAACCCCTAAGCCNNACCCCTAAACTCTTAAACCCCGAAGCCCGATACCCGAAAGGCCCAAATCCTAAACCCTGAAAGCCCTTCGCCTTTCATCCCCTACCCCCAAAACCACAAAACCTTTGCTTTCTTTGGAAGCGGCAGGGCTGCTTTCTGGGAGCTCCATCGGAAGCTCGGCGAGAGCTTCGATGCCGAAATGACGGCGCTGAGGGAGGTCTTGGGGAAAAGCGGAGGGTTTGAGAATCAAGTTTTAGGAGGTTTAGGGTTTAGGGATCAAGTTTCAGGGGTTTAGGTTCTGCGTTTCGGGTGTAGGTTTGTGGGGCAGTTTTTTCCTTCGCAGCAAGGATACCGCATCAGAGCCCTGTTTCGAATACAGCAGAAGCGGCGTCTTGAGAGGAGCTCACGAGCCTGAAGCGCCTTCAGACGTCTCTGAGCGAGGCCGCGTGAAGGGCTTTTGTTGGGGAGTTGGGACTGCCTTGAGGCCTTTCAGGGGCTGTGGGGGAAGCCCTTGCTTTCGAAGGAGTTCAGGACCCGGCGGGGGTTCAGGTCCAAGTTTGGAACGATGTTGAGTGCTCGCAATGCGAGCATGCAGTGGGATAAGTATGACAGGGCCGTGTCGAGGCATGCCACATCACGCTTACGTCGTTTTCGTGTCCAAGCTTCGTGAGTTTTCAACAAGTCTTGCTCTCAGAAGCCTCTGCGCCAGACTCTAGACAGCTCTCGAGTCGTCTGGTAAGTCAAACCCAAGAAGTAACAAGGCTGCAACTCTGGAACTTCCTGGAACACGACGGGCTTGGCAGGAGCATGTCACTCCTATCGACGATTCTGCCATTGCACGGCAGAAATCACCGGTCTCAGGCCACCGGCATGGCGGTGTGTTGCTGACTTGGCATCGCTATAATATGAGCGCATCAAGCAGGGCCCCCCAAGGGTCCGACGTCGAGCCTTGGGGCTTGTGGTGGCAGCTCTTGTTCACCCCAGCAACAATTAGATCTGTCTGAATCGTAACATATTAACCTAAATCACGGGCCTTTGACCGCACACACCATCTCAAACGATGATAGAAATCCTACAGACTCAACATTAAAGCTGTCTGAAGCGATGTGATTCCGATGAAGCTTGAGATGACCATGCCGACTTTACAGCTGCGCATGCCCTTGTTGATCCGAATGTAATTGAGGTTATATTTCCTGTTCGTAGTACCATGCCTAACGCAATTCCCCGGTGGCTTCCTCCTGTCACAGGCGATTCTTTCCGCTCACGGTTATCGCCCCATGGCCCACCTCCGCCAGAGGAAGAGATACAGCCAGCCGGTGCATTTGCAGTTTTGGGTATTGCTCGCTCTCATTTATGCTGGTTGTTCTGTCTGCTGTGGCCCTCAATGTTGCTGAGCTGGTTGCCACTGCTGCTCCTGCTCCTGCTTCTGCCGCTCCCGCTTCTGCTGCTCTAGGTTCGGCTGCTCCCGCTCTTGCTGCTGCTGCTACTGCTGCTGCTGCAGGTGTTGTTACTGCAGATGCTAGATGCTGCTGGAGCCTTTTGCGGCTCCTGATGCTGCTACTGCTCCAGCAGCTGCTCCGGCTGCTGCTGCTGCTGCTGCTGCCTACTGCTGCTACTACTACAAGTTCTACCTACCGTCACCACGACTACTGCTGCTGCTGTTACTACTACCACTGCTGCTGCCACTACTGCTACTGCTACTACTCCTACTCCTACTGCTAGTCTTTCTACTACTCCCCCTACTGCTACTACTACTGATACTGCCACTGCTACTGCTACTGTGCAACTACTGCCATTGCGACTACTGGCTACGTCCCACTACTCTTACGACCGACCACGACGACGACGGCGGCTACTGCTGCGTCTGCGTCGACTGCAACCAGAGAGTCTTTGCAGGTATCGACTTAGCGAATACATTGGTGAGGTTGACGACTCCCCGGCGGACGACGACGATGCGGTGTGGGTGCGAATCAGCGACCGACAGCGCGATGGTGGTGATGAGTGTGATGAAGCTGGGGATGACGATGACAACAGGGAGATGTTGATGACGATGGCGACAAGGTTGATGCTCGTGGTTTTGGAGATCGCGACGTTGATGTGGAAGTTCCGGTGTGATGACTCGTGTGATATGACATGCTGCTCATGGTGATAGCAAGTTGCGGGAAGGAGAACACTGGCACTGCCAAGGTGGAAGAAGAAACTCCATGACTCCATGCTGCTGCTGCTGCTGCTGCTGCTGCTGCGGCTGCTGCTGATTCGAACAGTGATAAGGATGTGATACCAGTAATTAGAGAGGTCTTGGTGGTGGCGATGACGATGATGATGATGATAATAGGACTGATGATGCTGGTGATGAAGGTGGTGATTATGATGATGATGATGATGATGATGATGATGACGCTGACGATGACGATGACGACGACGATGATGATGACGATGGTGGTGGTGGTGGTGATGACGACGATGATCATGAAAACGATGTTGGACAAGATTGTCCAGCTTCTCTTGATGATGGTGACGGTTCGCCATGTAAACATGATAAGAGCACTCCCATTCGTAGACGTTGAGGGTAACGATGACGAGCAGCGATGCTTGTGTAGAAAGTTACACTGACCTTCTGCATTCTCTCAGGTTTCTGGAAAGTCTTGGTGATGTCAGCCCTGACACCAGCAACCGATGGAGCTCGACTCGCGGCAGAAGCTGTGGGTCTCATTGAGAGCTTGAGTGCGTTTGTGTCAGTTCTGCAGTGTTTGTCAGAGCTGCCGTCCGTTTTGGCGATTCCCGTCTTTGTGAGTGCGGGTGCCGATGTTTTGCAGCTCAGGGGCAAAATTGACCCAGAGTGTGCCAGTGGTGAAGCATGCCCTCTGCACGAACGCTAATCTTGCTCAATCCCGAGTCTGCTTCTAATCGTTGAGCCTGAAGCCAACGAACCAGTGGCCAAGACCGGAAGGTTCAGCGGACAAGACGTTAAGCCGTTTTTGGGGGCACTGATGCCCCTCACAAAATCCCCAAACTGAACCCAGGCCACGCCATGGGCACCAAGCTGCAGTGAGATCCTAAATAATATGATCCTGAAACTACAATCAATCCCCGATCCTTCTCAGGACGTCGTTTGCGGACGACCTCCGTGTGGCGCTGGGTAGCCGAGCCGACGTCCGACGCATTGTGCAGCAGCAAACTCAAGGCGCGGCTGCACGCGGTTGGGAAACGACTACCACGACAACTGCAACTGCAACAACAAGAACAACATCCACGACGACGATGACGACAACAACAGCTACTGCGACCACCACCACCCCCACCCCCACCCCCACCCCCACCCCCACCCCCACCCCCACCCCCACCCCGACCCCCACC